AGCCAGCCCCGCCCCCTGGTGGGCTGAGCTAGCCACACACACACACCACACACACTCACTCTCTCTCTCTCTCTCTCTCTCTCAAATAAATAAAAATTAAAAAAAAAATAAATAAAAGTATAACCCAAAACTATTAAACTTCCAAAAGAAAACATGAAAAATCATTTTGACCTTCAATTAGGAAAGATTTCATTGAACACAAAACACATGAACCATAAAAGAAATAACAGATACATTGAACCTTGCTGAATTAAAATTTATACTCGGTGACAGTTATGGGGAGGGAAGGCATAAGCCGTCTTCAGAACAGAAGAAAAGGCTTGCAAAACACACATTTCTAAAAAAAAAGGGCTGAAGTCAAGTATACTGCACACGTGTAGTCCCAACTACCAGGAAAGCTAAAGCAGGAAGACCTCTTGAGCACCAGAGTTTTTAGGGCTTTGGAGATCTTATCTCAAAAACAAAAGAAAGATATTCAGAACATAAAAAGACCTCTCACAACTCAATAATAAGAAAACAGCCTTTTAAATCTTTTTTCAGATTTTTTTAAATGGACAAAACGTTCAATTACATAGATGTTTTGCCAAAGAAGAAATTCAAGTAGAAAAATTCTACAAGAACAGTTAGTCAAAATCATCAATCATTAGGGAGATGCAAACTACCAATTAGAATAGCAAAAACCAAAGAAAAGAGAAACAGTTGATAATGGCAAGTGTTACTAAATATGTAAAGAACTGACTTCCATGCATTTGTGTGGAAACAGCAAAACTGTTCAGTCACTTTGGGAAAACACAGTTTTACAGCTTCTTGGAGTTAAACATACACCTGCAATACCATCCAGCAAATACACATCTGGGTATTATTTATTGTTATTATTATTTTAATGTATTTTGGACAGAATCTACAGGGTCTCACTACGTAGAACAGACTTGTAGTGATTCTCCCATTTTCACCTCCCCAAGCGCTGGGATCACAGGTGTGTGCCACCATGCCCAGTCTCAATTGCCATCTCAGGGCGCCCTGGGGGCGGGGCCGGCACAGCAAGCCTAGGATAGAAACCCAGCTGCTGAGATCTGCCTAAGCAGATGCTTTAGTCCCGCTGAGCTATCTGGCCAGCCAAGGGAATTATTCACAATTTGCAAACTGAAAACTCAGTGTCCACCACTGATTAACAGATAATCGAACTTTTCAAGGAATGAACTAGTGGCAGCTGTATCAACATGGATGAATCTCAAACTTACTATGCTAAGTAAAAAAAGAGAGATTCAAGGGTTATCACTATATGGTTCCATTTACACAATATTGTGGAAAAGGCAACATCATAGGGGGACAGAAATCAAATCAGAAGTACCAGAGCTGGGATCGAAGACACGGGGCTAGGCATGGTGGTGCAAGCCTGTAATCCCAGAATTTAGGAGGCCCACGCAGGAGGATCACTGTGAACTCAAGGCCAGTCTGGGTTACATAGTGAGACAATGTCTCAAAAAGCCTAAGCGGGACCAGGGGAAGGACACAGGACAATGAAAATGTTCCAGAACCTCATTTATAACGGTGTGATGAAGTTATATAACTAGTTGTTTGTTTGTTTGTTTGTTTGTTTTTTAATGTATTTGGTACAGGGTCTCACTATGCAGCTCGGACTGGTAGTGATCCTCCGGTTTTCAGCCTCCCCAGCGCTGTAATTACAGGCCTGCACCACCACGCCCAGACTCTTTCAAGGGCTCAGTGTTCCCTGGGGACAGGGCGACTGGGTATCAAATCCTGATCCTGTGCTTGCCAAAGCAGGTGCTCAGTCCACTCAGCTATCTCGCTGGCCCTATGGTCAGTTATTATGGGTCATAAATACTAATTAAAAATCTA